TCAGTATATTTCTCTGCCAGACGGATTAGATGCAATTCATTTCTGTAGGTTCTATTCTATCTAGAGTGAGGAAATCTAATGTAACATATCCTCTTCATTGAGTATTTCCTCTAGAATAGCTGAAACTTCTGCATCAGATAATGTATCATCCGCTGGTTGGGCTATAATAGGTGGGGCATAAGGGGTTTCTTGAGAGGGGTCAGAGGGGGCATTTTGAGGAGGGACAAAAGAGGGGTCTAATTGGGGATCTTCTATTAAAGAAGTAGTACCAGCACTAGCTCCGCTAACTACTCTATTATCAGCAGTACCACCAATAATAGAAGTAGTTCCGTACTCTCCAATAGTGCGGGTATTTCTTCTTTTTCTTTCAAGAGAGGCAATAGCTTCTTCACGTCTTTGACGATATTTTTCTAAGTCAAGACGTCCAGTCTCCCTCTCTCGAAGAAAATCGTTAATTAAACGATTTTCACTGGCTTCTCTACGTTGTCGAACACGATCCCCGATCGTTTCGAAGCCAGAAGATCTATGAGAGTCAGTTTCTTTTCTTTCCAACTCTTCATAGTCTTTCTTTTGCATTGTAATTCGTCGTCTTTGGCGTCGACGACGATTTTCTTCATAATTATTAATTTTAATATTATTATTTCTGAATGACATTGATTGAATGGTTATTTATGATAAAAAATATATAAAAATTAAATTCAAAAAGTTCAAAAATTGTAATACTTCATAAAATTGAAAATACAAAAAGTGTAATACTTCAAAATACGAAAAGAATACCTCAAAAGAATGTACCCAGATGTCAAAAAAAGATGAATTCCATATTCTAAATATAAATAAAAATATTGTTATATAAAACATAATCTATTTATATATAAAAGTGTTATATAAAACATAAAACATAGAAATGTTATATATCCCAAAAGGACCAAAATTTCCCACTACGTACTACATGATGCTATCACACTATCGTCAAATTGTACCATAAAAAAATTATTATAAAAAGAAAAAAATAAAATAAATTCTAATTTAAGAAAATTAAAAAAATAAAAATAAAAAAATTAATTATATTATATTAAATTAAATAAAA